TATCGCACCACGAAATACAAAGCAGATGAAGGTAGGTAGGAAGATCTAAAACTGGGAGAGGGAACTAACTATTGGCTATCCTTTTATACTAACACTATAAGGGCTGACGCCCATACACAACATATATACCATTCGATTCCTCTCACCGAGCTGAGTTCAAATATGCAAGAATTTTCTGCCGGAGACGAAAACTCGCAGAGATACAGGCCCCCGAAAATCGAAAAACCATAGGGGGGACCAGACGTGGGTTTTCGGGGGCCTGTATCTCTGCGAGTTTTCGTCTCCGGCAGAAAATTCTTGCATATTTGAACTCAGCTCGGTGAGAGGAATCGAATGGTATATATGTTGTGTATGGGCGTCAGCCCTTATAGTGTTAGTATAAAAGGATAGCCAATAGTTAGTTCCCTCTCCCAGTTTTAGATCTTCCTACCTACCTTCATCTGCTTTGTATTTCGTGGTGCGATAAATATCTTTGTTAGCTCCTCTACGTAAGCGGGGTCATAACAAGTGGCGCGGTCGTGTTCAAAAAGAACCAGTCGTCAGTTCGTCAACTTCAGTAAGCTGTGTGTCGTCAACGTAAGCTGTGTGCAGTTCAGGAAAAGAAAAAGTGTGTAGACAAATTGTAGTGTAGTGAAACCGAAAAGGTTAGTGAAATTGTAGTGTTTAGTAAAAGTGTAGTGATAAAAAAAAATTATTTTTAGTGAGTGCAAAATGGATGCAAAAACAGTGGAGAAATTGTTGAAGGCTCAGCAAGAGCATTTTGAGAAAATGTTAGTGAGGCTCTTGAAGCCGAGTGAGTGGAACGACACAGAATTGTACAGCAAATTAGTTGGAATGATTGGTGAGTTCATTTTTGATTTATCGAGTGGTATGACCTTTGAGTCATGGTTGGGCAGGCATCGGTCCTATTTTGAGGTGAAGGGTAAAACCCTGCCAGAATCCTCTAAAGTGAGATTGTTGTTGAGTAAATTGGGGCAAGAAGAGTATGCCCAAATTGAAAGGAAAATGCTGCCAACCAAGTTGAGTGAAATGAAGTTTGACGAACTCTGTAGTGAATTAGTGAAAGAGTTTAGTGACCATAGGTCTAAGTTGTTGAAAAGGTTCGAGGCCTTAAATGTTAAGTGTAGTGACCTCCAAGATATTGTTGAGTTTGGGAATGTAGTGAATGCTCAATGTGAGCGTGCAGAAATGGCCTTGTCGATTGAAGAATTGAAAATTCTTATTTTTATTTCAGGTTTGCCTAGTGATGCTACCTCAGTTCGACAAGTCGCAATGAAAAGTGTTGAAAGTAAAAGTGAAAGAGGACAGGCAGTAACCTTGAAAGAAATTATTGAAGAGTGTCGGGCATATTTGGCAAATAAAAGTGAAGCCATGTATATTGTCAAGGAGAAAATTAGTGAAGTAAAAAAAGAAGTGCCGACAGTCAACACAGTGGAAAAAGTGAAATGTTGTGAAAAGAGTGAAAGTGAAATTGGAAGTGAGTACAAAAAACAGTGGTCCAAACCAAATTTCAAGTATCAACAAAATGTTATTGAGAAAAAGTGCAGTCATTGTGGACGTTTTGGTCACTGGCGTATGCATTGTAAGTTCTTGAAGAATATTCAATATCAGCCAAAAAGGCAGTGGAGTAATGATACTAATCATTCAGATTCTCCATATTGTGCAATTCTGGACATCTTCGATCCAATGCAAAGTGTGGAAAAAGAAGAGTGGATAAAGCAAAAAGTGAAGTTTGGAGAACTTAGTGTAGAAATGATTGTAGACACTGCATCGCAGATCAATGTTGTCACCAGTGAAGTGTGGAATAATATTGGACAACCAAAAGTTGAAAAAGTGAATTACAAAGGTATTGGTCTGGGTGACAACAAAGTGGAACTTGAAGGAAAGTTCAAAAGTAAAGTGCGAGTGAAGGACAAAGAAGTGTATATGGAGTTTCATCTATGAATAGTGAAGTGTGTATCTTGTGGTTGCCTGGATTGAAAGAAGTGTCAGGTCAGAACCAAAAGCCAAAGTACCAAAAGTGGAGCAAAAAGAAGGCACCATTCAAGATACAGAAAAATGCGTTTCCGAATGGGACAAAAGTGAAAGTGAAGAATACAAATAAACGAAGTGGAAAAATTGAGTGGCTCAAAGGTGAAGTATTGCGCAAGACGGAAAACGGATGGAAAATCAAAGTGCAAGTGTTGAAGAGTATTGTGTCCAGGTCGTATAAAGAGATCCGTCTTGATGAGTGGAGTAATAAAAAGAAGTTGCTGAATGAAAACTTCAAAAAGATGAATATTAGTGAAGAGACAATAGTGAGTGAAAGTAGTGTGAGTTCTTCAAGTGCTAGCAGTGCGGACAGCTCAAAAAAGATCAAGTCAAAAATGAAGGACAATGTTGGGAACAAATCAAACATGAAAGAAGTTGAAGACGATAATAATATGGAAATGTAGATGAGCCACATATAAATATAATTGTGATAATATTCTTGTTGTATTTTTTTTGTAATGTTGTATGTATTTTTTGTTCCCATTGTCCTTATTCCCCCAAAATTTTTGTATGTATTTTTTGTTTGTATTGTTTGGCTGAAAAGTGTTGAGTATATTGTAAAGCTTCGGCTTTAAGTGAAGCCGAACCTTTTTTTAAGGGGGGAGGTGTTGTGTATGGGCGTCAGCCCTTGAAGTGTTAGTATAAAAGGATAGCCAATAGTTAGTTCCCTCTCCCAGTTTTAGATCTTCCTACCTACCTTCATCTGCTTTGTATTTCGTGGTGCGATAAATATCTTTGTTAGCTCCTCTACGTAAGCGGGGTCATAACAATATATAACGATTTTCGATCTCGGTGGGCATATACTAAACCGACCCCTAGAAATATTTGAATTGTAATTTTTGTGTGAATTTGGAATTTAAAAATTCATCCTTAATGACTGAGATGTTCACGGTTAACCATGGGTGTTCACTGTCGGTTAACCGAACCCAAAACCGAGTGTCATGTTAATAACCGACAGTAATAACTAGAGCCAGGATTTTTAGGCACGATAAAGTTAAAAATAGGCACCTATATAGGCACTAACAAACTGACAAAATAGGCACTAAAATCCGAAAAAAAGGCGAAATAGGCAGGATTTTTTCGAGAGTTTGCTGATTTGAATTGACTAATTTTATCAAAAAGATAAATTTAAGCAATAAAATGTTAAATAAATTAATTTCGACGACCAGAATTACATATAAATTAATTTATATTAATTATTTTGTTTCCAAAAATAATTTGATAAATTTTCAGAAGAAAATTTTTTCCAAAAAAATTTTTTGACAAAAATTTTTTGGAAAAATTTTATATTTTACCAGAAAAAAATTTTTTAAACAAGAATTTTCTCAAAATATGCCCAAAAATTCGCAAATATTAGTAAAAATATGCAAAATAGGCTGAAAAAAGGCAAAATAGGGCATTTTGCCAGAAAAAGTTAAAATAGGCAATTTTAGGCAACGATAAAAGTAGTTAGAAAGCAGATTTCAGTAAAATAACACCGGATTTGAACGTTTCAGCATCAGGCCTATCTAGGAAAAAACAGGCATTTGCCTAAAAATCCTGGCTCTAGTAATAACTAGAGCGCGGACCGTACCGTACTACGGCCGTATTTTTCGGTATTTATCGGTATTCCGTATCGGTAATACGGTACGGAATACGGTACGGTAAAATTCTTGCCGTAATACGGGCCGTATTCCGTACTACGGCCGTATTTTATCGGTATTTATCGGTATTCCGTATCGGTAGTACGGTACGGAATACGGTACGGAACGAAATTCCGCGCTCTAGTAATAACTCTAATTTTAACACACACCCGATGAGGTTTAAAATCATCCTTGTATTTATCTATTCTTATTTTCCTTTCTAAATTTTAATATTTTATCTTCGATAAAATAAATTTTTATTTAATGTATTTAGAAAATTAAGAAACTAAACATACTTTTAGCCCATTTCTTAATCGTCCTCGCAAATAATTGAAATTTATTCACATTACCAGTCATTTCTATAAATTTTAGCATAATATTATTTGAATTATACGAAGCAAGTGAATATATTTCGCTTTCAATTCCAGATAAATCTTCGGGTTTGTACAATTTTTTTGATTTTTGTCTCTTATGTTCTATTATTTCCTCAAATTCTTGATTATTTAATCCATTTATAGGAAAAGTATTTTTTAATGTTTCTAATTGAATTTCATCAATTATTATAAAGGAAATATCAAAATTATTTCCATTTGTATTAAATTTTATTATTTTAATTCGAGTATGCATAATTTTGTGAAGCTTTTTGATTGAATAATTCTAAATTTTATGATTAAATTTTATTTGAAGGTGTTCTGAACCAGACTGATGTCGCGACGGGTCTCGCGAAGTCGGAAATACAACTTTTTATTTTTTCCATAATTTTATTTATTTCCCATAAAATTAATTTATTTTGTACTCCTTATCTAAATATGTAGATCTAAAGAATTTTCCCAGCTTTTTCTTAACTTTGGCCTGTAACTCTCCTTTTGTGCCCACCTACTCTTTATATAGGCTTATTCATTCCATTCAACTTGTTCAGTTCACCTTTTCACTTTACTAATTGTATTAATCAGCTTTATACTTCCTCTGCTTTACATTAGCAATTTTTAGCCTTCCTTACTTTAATATTTTTATATTTGTGAAAGAAATAAAATTTTGATTGAAGACTTTCTTTGGTTTTAATATTAGAGAAATTAGGACCATTTCTCTACAGTCTTACCCAGATAACGAACTTCCTACTTAACAATTTTATCCTATTTTTCTGTGAATTTCTTACTCCTTAATTTTTTGGGTTCGATTCATATTTAATATTTTCCTAACTGATTTTAATATTTGTTTACTTTTGACTACTACCTATATTCTTACTAGGAAAATGTCTCTCCCATTTAGAACCCAGATTAAAAGCCTGTATCCAGAAATTACGGGAATTTTGGAAGCCAATAAAACCTTTCCCGTCCCTCTCCGAAACCAGGGACAATCGGATCATATTTACTTTACCCATATCCGGGCCTACCTCCGAGAATTGGATTTTACACTTTCCGAAGCCTCCGATAATCTAACAGACCTTTCTACTTTCCCCCCTGCTGATGAAGGTAAACTTAAATGTCGAACCAAAATTTACTAATAATCCCCTTCTATTTTCACGCATGTCAACTCTCCCGAACATGCCTGCTCATCCTTGGACCGTGCGCCTCCACCCTTACTTGCCAGTGTATCAAGGAATTGGACCCATTCCGCTCTCCCGAATAAACTTCGTGATGCCTGTGAACATACCAACGCCTTTGAATATGCTCCCCTTCAACCGTAACAACAACGACTCCCCTTGTTGCAGCCACCACCATTACCTTCACTGAAAGCCTGGCCTGGAGTGTCGCGACGGGTCTCGCGAAGTCGGAAATACAACTTTTTATTTTTTCCATAATTTTATTTATTTCCCATAAAATTAATTTATTTTCTACTCCTTATCTAAATATGTAGATCTAAAGAATTTTCCCAGCCTTTTCTAAACGCTTCATCTTTAGCCTTTATTCCTTTTATGTACACATTTCTTTGTATATATGCTTATTCCTTTTTCCTATCTTCGTTCAGTTTACATTATTTTTCCTATTACCTTGGATCAGTTTTATATGTTCAGTTTCCTATTCCTTCCTTTGCTTCACATTATCAAACTTTAGCCTACCTTTTTAATATATTTTATTTGTGGAAGAAATAAACTTTGACTGGAAAAGTCTTTTATTTGTTTTAACCTGAGAGAAGATATCCCAATCTCTCAAAGTCGCTGGATTCAGGACTACCCTTTTTAAGACCTACCCTTATTAGAGAAACACACCGTTTCTCTACACTGAAGAAATGTGAATTTAAAAGTTCGGTTAAGGATATCTAGGGATTTTCTTAGAATCGACAACCAAGCTACATAAAATATTATTTAATTTAAAGTACAGTAGCTTTTAATTTAAAAGTACAGTATTTTTTGAAATAAAATCCATTAGCTTTTTTTTTATATTATCTCAAAAGTATTACAATAATCCATGATGGGAATAAGCACTTTGGTACGTGTTTCCAAACACTTGCGACTCTCGTAAGGAGGGTTTTCAGGAAGTAAATTAATCTCTAAAAAATACTTTACATAGCATAAATAACAATAAAGTGAATTGTCATTGCATTTTATATTTCCAACAAAAGGTTGACATAAATCAAAATCTGGATTCCCATAAAAATGATTTATTCCATTTATTTTACAATTGTCATTTTTCTTTTTATGCAATACAACAATAGAATCAACATCCGAGTCAATAGTTTCTGTCTTTAATTTCCGGGAACCGCTCAATAGAAATTCAATCAGATGACAATTTTTAGATTTAGCCCATTTTGAGATAATTGAAACGATTTTGAATATTTCTTGAGAAGATCTATCTTTATCTTTAACGATTGTTGAATAGTTCAGTTGTTCATTAAGCTAAAAACAAATAATTAATTAATCGGTAATTTAAGAGAAATTATCCGGAAATGTTCCATAAAAACTTAAATCTTATTTCAGTATAAGGTTTTGAAATCTTGAAGATATACGTAGAGAGTTAAGTTGCTTTTTTGTATTTCGAATTGACTTATATAAAAACCAAAATGTAATCGCTTTATTTAACGAAAAAAATTAAAATAATCCATTGGAAATTATAATTTCTCTAATTATGTATAATGCAATTTGGTTTTCGTACAAAAATATTACTATTTTTAGATTTTTATAAAAAAAAATTTTAACAATAAATATATACAATATTTTTTGCAAGTTCTTTTTGAACATAAAAATAAGGCAATTCATCAAAAATTGGAAAATCTATTAAATTATTTTGAGTTGATGCTAAATTTTTAGAGAATATTTTTAAAATTTTTTTGAAATTAATTAACTAACTTATTAACATTTTCTGAATTTTTTTAATTTCATAATTATGCAAATAATCAGTAAATTCGTTAACATTTTTATTATTAAGCAATGAAAATAATATTCTTTTTTGTTTCTTTTGTTTCATTAAATTCCATTGGCGATTAGAATTTAAATTTGCAAGCCTTTAAAAATTCATTTATAGCTGGAATGTTGTTTTTAATTTATCCCAGCCCCCTCCCCCCTCCCCCCACCCCCCTTTGAATTTTTTTTCAACTGCGGTGACGGGGAACAGGTGCTCCGGAGTGAGACCTCCCCCCGTTCCACGGGAATTCCCTTCCCCGGGTGTGAGGTTGAACCCTAATATTAACATTCATTTTTAGTAAAATTTCAACATTTTTAAAATTTCTTTAAAGTTTATTTATGATAATTACTTTTGCTTATGCAACTTTATTTTAACTGCCTTAATTTCTTCGTCCATTAATTCTTGATTGGTTTCTTTTTGTAGATCACTCCAGTCATCCATAATCATTGATAATTCTTTTAACAATGAGTGGAATCTATTCTCCAGCTCTGTTAATTTTTCCATATTATTTACAACGCAATTTGCGTCTCCATTTATTTCATTAAATTCGTTTTCCAATTTTAAGACCAACTTTAATAGAGAGCAATCACTAACATTTTGTTCGTCAACTTTTCCTTTAATAAATAATTTTTATTTTTGATTAATAAAAATTTGCATACTTTAAGTCCTTTAAGCTCTATTCCAAAAATGGATAGAATTAACTCCGAGAGTTCTATAAAGTAGAGATCGGCCTGGGTCGGAACCAATGCCTTTTCTTCTTGTACCAGGAGTCAAGGTCCAGGCATTTTTTGACCTTCCTGGGTATTTCCTGTGGGTTTTTCCAGGACTTCAGGTCGAAGATCCAGTCCAGGTCAAAATTTCCGTTTCTACTATTTATGAAGCAAGATACCATTTTTTCTAGTTCACCAATTAAAATAAAGGGTTAAAAGCTTCAATGTAAAATTTATTCTAAATGAATTTGAGAAGGGAACATTTTCTGCGGATATTAAATCAGTACCTTGAAATTCTCCAAAAGTCAAATTAACATTTTTATCCTGACAGTTATTCTTGATTCTAATTTTTTGAAAATGCTTAAAACGTTTATTAAGTTCATCAACAATAACTCCAAGGTCCAGAGAAGGAATAATCTTTCTAGGATCTTCATTGCTTGAAATAAATCTTATATATTTTTCATTTAATGCATCTTCCTCTAAATAGTTAATTGGAGTAAAAGGAGAAAATTTTGAAAAATTGGCGATTTTATTTGAAGAATCAAGAGTCTTGTCATCCTTTTCAGCATTTTTTAATTTATCTTCCTTTTTGCATTTGTCTTCTACATTTTCCTCCTTCAATTTATTAATCTCACTCAATAAATTTCTCGAATCCTTTTTATCAAGAATTGCCTTGAAACTGATTGCTGGATTTACAAAAAGTTTTTTATCTTTAATTTTCTTTGAGTTGTCTATTTTTTCCAAATCATCATTTATTTTAATTTTATTGTTAATTATACTTTCATTGTTCAAAATATTCTTATTCTTCATCTCGGCATCATAATATTTTTTATAGTTCATTTTCTTAATATTATTGAATGAAAATGATGTTTTATCCACAATATCCTTTCCCTTAAATTTTTTATTCAGTTTTAATTTTTCTTCCTCTTCCATCTTTTTCTTTTCTTCCTTTCTCTGTTTCATCTCATCTCTTTTATTCAGCACCCAACCTTCACTATCCTCATCATTTTCAACGTTATCTTCATTAATATTTTTATAAAATTCAGAATCTTCACATATTTCACTATGAGCTTGTACATTTTCATGATTGTTATAATCCTCATTTTCAAGATTTTGCTTAATCTTTTCAATTTTATTCTCAGAAGTGGATTCCACTCTCTTTTTGTTTTTATTTTTATCTCGCTTTTTCTTTTGTTTTTTGCTTCGTTTGTTTGCAGTGCTAATGGATAATTTACTTATACTATTTTTATCATTATCAATTATCCCCATTTCATTCATAATCTCGTCTACCTCCTTTAATTCCTCTTAAAAATTTCTTTAAACTAAAATTTTGTAAAAATATTTGTAACCTTTTTTATTATCGTTTTCACTTTCAAATTCGACATTAAGTTTTTCTTGGTACCATAAATTGTTTCGATATACAATTAGATCAACTTTTATTTGAAGAAAACTATTAGCCCCAAATATTTTTTCTATTCTTGGTTTTAATTGTTGTTCCTTATCATCATTTTCTTTAAATTAAAAATGAAATTAATTATGTATTTATTGTTTTTTAAATATTTTTCGAAATTGAATAGGATTTTATAGTTAATTAGATTTTATCAATTATATTTATGTGCGGAGAAGTTTTTTCCAATCTTAGTTAATAGAACTAAGAGAAAATAATCAGTATGAGGTAGTTTTTAGGTATGTAAAATTTATTCATATATATGGAAAATAATATGAATAACCTTGAAAAAACTGTGTGACAAAACTACTGTCCAACTCGCCAGTTTGAAGCAATTGAGAAAAAGTAATATATCTTATCTCCTCTATCCAATCTAACAGATTTATACTATCGTCTACCGCATGCATTTTTGTGTCCAAGTCATCATTGAAACTTTTCCATTTGTTCTTAAATTTTAGTTTGTTTTAAAATATTAATTAGTTTGAGGTACTCAAAATAATTAAATTAGAAAATAACAATGGGTAATTTATTCATAAGTAGATTCTTCTAAAAATTTTATCTTATAAAATGCTACTAATTATACTAATTATATTTCGTCTTGAGGCTTGATGATTTATGGCCGGTGCTCTGTAGACTCGTCGGTTAGACTCCTAAATCCTGAAAAATCATAGGGAGTCTCAGCTCGTCGAGCTGGCTCGAATGAGCCTCAAAATCAGCTTTTCAGAGCTCTTTGAATGAAACCTCATTTGTACATATCGATCCAAAACAAAGCATTAGTATAATTCACAATATCGCCGTTTAATTGGATTATTAAAAATTGAGCCTTACTGACGAAAAGAACCTCAGACGAAACTCATCTCTGAGAAAAACCCCTCTGACGTATCGGACATGTATGCACAGGTCTAGGTGTTTAACCGGATAGTATTTACAATATTAGATAAATAATCTAAAATTTAAAACTTAACCTCCAAATAATCCTTGAAGGAGCTTCCTTTCGCTAGTTTATTTTTTTCCACCAATTCTTTACCTTTTAATTCTTTAATCGAGCTAACAAAGCGTATAAAGAAATACGGAAAGTTTGTGTTTTTAAATTCTAATTGTTCTATATTAACATCCTTATCAAATAATTGACAAAAATTCCTATCAAATTCATTTTGCATTTTATTCCAAATTTCTAGACACCAAATCCTCGATTTTTGAGAGTTTTTATTCCATTCTGATTTAGTAGTTAATATATTCTCAATATTTCGATGCCATAAAATTATATCAATAGCTAAATTATTTCTTATGAATTCGTTATCGTTTTCATTAAAGAAAATGTTATGATAGTGTTGTGCTAACTGCTTGTTATCCTCATAAACTGAAATTTAAATTATTAGATGCTATTTTTCACATGAATTATTATATATCAGCAAAATTAGATAATAAATTTATATTTAAAAATATTTCATAGCAATAACGTAAATAAAAGTTTAAGAAACTATGAATTAAAAAATTAAGATTTAAAATCATTTTTTATTTTAATTTTTGTCTTGAAAATTGAGGATAGTTGTTAATTTTTTCAACACCCGAAAGATTTTGTCGATGTCGATCAACAATTATTACCAGCTTATTTCAACATAGTGCCAAAAACTTGCCGGTGAAAATAAATGATAAGAATATTTCAATTTTGATTACATTTTCTGATTAAACAAAATCTTAAAATAACTTACTTTCTTTACATTCCATCTTAAGATGGTTGTCATCGCAGGGATTCTCGCAAGGGTCCGTAGCAGTAATTTTAAGTAAATAAAGTAAAATAATTATGAAAAATGAAAGAAAAGTATTTGAAATATTGTACATTAAAGGAAAAATTAAAGTTAATTTGTATTAATAACTTTTTTATTGTAAAAACAACAAATCTATAAAAAAATCAAATTTTTACAAAAAATATTTTTTACAAAACAATGGTTTATAATGTCCTTAAATTTTGAAACCTTGCATATCAACACCTATTATACAAAGTTAGTTATGTCGTTTATTTTAGAAGCAGTGATTAATAATCAGTCTCGTCTAGTTTCACACAGAATAATTTGAAATTTCCTCAGTTTAAAATTTGAATATGAACAGTATGATCATTATATTATATAGACAATTAATTACGAATTCGCAGTAACCACCTTATATTATGATAAAGGGCATTTGTAACATTAATTCATGGAGAGATTTCTTTATAATAAAATTATTTTACTTTTATTTTACTGATTGATACAATGAAAATATTTAAATTTATTTATTGCTTTTATGTAGAATAAATGCTAAATAATACATATTTGCACTTTAATAAATTTTCAAAGGCGAATTGCCGACTTATTTACGCAAATCTATACGTGTTTTATATATAGACATCAAGGGAATTAAAATGGCGGCATTTACTTTTAAATTTTTTGGAAAGTGCATATGTAGCTATTTAGGGAATTTTTCAGTCTAGACAATTTAATTCTAAAATTAAAGAAAAATATTGAGAAATATTTTTTAATTTGCTTTTATGTAGTTTTTAATTTAGACAATATAGAATTCAATAACTGAAGTAAGATTACGAATTATTGAAAGATTGGGCACTATCTGAAATAAGGTCGGTAATCGTTTTTTTCATTACTTTTTTCCATTACTTTTTTCCTTCCTTGATATGACAGAATGGTCAGCATTTTTCTCCTTGTTCTATTCCATTATATTCCCTGTGGCATAATCAAAAGAGTAATGATAAAGAAAAGGATTAGTTTTTAAATACTTTTTCCTCTTCGTCCGTGTTATGACTGTCCGTGTTCGTCCGTGTTTTGTCTGTCCTTCTTCGTCCGTGTTTTGCCTGTCCTTCTTCGTCCGTGCTCGTCAGTGTTCGTCCGTGTTTTGTCTGTCCGTGTTCGGCCGTGCTCGTCAGTGTTCGTCCGTGATTTGTCTGTCCGTGTTCGGCCGTGCTCGTCAGTGTTCGTCCGTGTTTTGTCTGTCCGTGTTCGGCCGTGCTCGTCAGTGTTCGTCCGTGTTTTGTCTGTCCGTGTTCGGCCGTGCTCGTCAGTGTTCGTCCGTGTTTTGTCTGTCCGTGTTCGGCCGTGCTCGTCAGTGTTCGTCCGTGTTTTGTCTGTCCTTCTTCGTCCGTGTTTTGCCTGTCAGTGTCTTGGTGTGTATTTTTCTGTCCTCTCATTTGATTATGCCACAGGCAAAATTATTGGAGTTGAACAAGGAAGAAAATGCTGACCATTCTGTCATATCAAGGAAGGGAAAAAGTAATGGAAAAAAGTAATGAAAAAAACGATTACCGACCTTATTTCAGATAGTGCCAAAGATTGTTATTAAATTATTAAACTTAAGTT